GTCCTAACATTGTCCAATCATGCGCTCCTGAAATATTCTGCAGTCTTCACTAATGAGAGGAATGGAAAAGCCATTAAAAAAAAATACCAACTGAGACAAAACCAAATATGGTCATAGTGTCAAGTAGTCAGAAACCATGTATTTTTGTTCCACATTGAATATAATTTATTGAATGCACTGAATTTATTTTTTTAACCTCCTAAAGTAATTATTTAGGAAACCTACTAATCTCCAGGCCAGCTTTCAGGCTATCTACTATATTCCTATCTACTATAAAAATATATATCTCAATCTATCTGTCAAACAAGGAATTATCTCAAGAATATTTCCCATAGAATCACACAGGATCAAGACCTAATCCAAAACAGATCAATACTGCGAAGACATCAATGGCAAAGGATGATATCTGAGATGTCAAAAATTAAGATAGTGGAGAAGAATTTAGCCATGTTATAATAGCAACTGCATTACCAAAATCTCTTCCAATCATTCCTCACTCTGATGATGGTGCTTAGTGCCTTGGAAATTTGGAAAAATAAAAGATGATTCCACATTTTTTCTATTAGGTTTCTAATAAATAACAGGAAGGATACTAAGCAGTTTATTCATTTGTGGACTTACTTAATTCTTGTACTTCTATCTCTTCTATCCTTCTCACAATTTGGCCTGTCAGCGATTAATTATTATATTTATCTATTGTATACATAAGATTCTATGATTAAGAAATAGAAAAAGACCTGAAGGGCTAGCTAATCCAACCACCATATTTTACAAATGATAAAACTGCAGACCAGAAAGGTCATGTGATTTGCCCAAAGTCACATAGGAAGAAAGCAGCAGAGCTGGGATTTGAACATGAGTCCTTGGACTATATATTTCATATTCTGTTGCCCTGTCCAAGAACTAGTTGGTAGTCACAAACTGGTTTACAACCCGAACCACTGCTCTATCTTTCCTAGGGATGCTCTGAATTTGATCAATGGGGGATTAGGAGTATCTTTTTCTCTCCTCATATGGCAATATAAGTAAACATAAACCTAATCTATAACTCTGCCAGTCTTAGAACAACTTAGAACAATCATTCTGATAGACTAAAAGTGGCAGTAGGGGCAGCTAGGTGGCACAGTGGATAGGGCTCTGGCCTTGGAGTCAGGAGGACCTGAGTTCAAATCTGGCCTCAGAACTTGACACTTACTAGCAGTGTGACCCTGGGCAAGTCATTTAACCCTGATTGCCTCACCAAAAAGAAAAAAAAGTGGCAGTAAACACAGAAGCCAAAGAATAAACTATTCATTTTTAATTAGAGATTAAGTGACCAATCAAAAATGATTAAAACTAGGTATCTTCGAGATATCTACATTTTTCCAATCAAAATGTCCAAAAAGGCAGATGGCATTGTGAATAGAATGCTGGATTTGGAATTAGAAAGCCCTGAGTTTAATAGTTGCCTCAAGATATTAACTAATTTTATTATTCTCAGAAAGTTACCTAACTTCTATCAGTCTTAATTTCCTCACCTATAAGATAGGGATAAAATGGTGTTTAGGTGATAATCAATTAAGACAACATTTAAGTAAAGCACTTTGCTAATCTAAAAGTGCTATATAAGTAACTTTTTATCATCATCATCGTCATCATCATTACTATTATTATTACCTATGAATTCTATATCCCAGAGAATCCTGCTGAAGGGAAAACTATTCTGACTCAAATATGTATAGTAAGAGGATTATAACAAAGATGTTGGAAAATCTCAACAGTCAAAATGACATTTGTTATTTAGGATGTTAAATTAAAAAAGTAGAGGGTTGGGGCAGCTAGGTGGTATAGTGGATAGAGCACCAGCCCTGGAGTCAGGAGGACCCGAATTCTAATCTGGCCTCAGACACTTGACACTTCCTAGCTGTGTGACCCTGGGCAAGTCATTTAACCCTATTGCCTAGCCAAAAATAAGTAAATAAATAAAAAAGTAAAGGGTTCCCCTAAAAAGTAAATACATAAACAGTTTAAAAAAACTGTAACCTATTTACAATCATATGAAAGTTTGCTCCAAAACAGATTTCACCTCATAATTCAACAAGTTGGCAAAAATGTTTTCCCCAGGTCCCCCAGGTTCAATTTAATAAAGATCTAATGCCTCCTCCCCAAGTGATATATAAATTTTATAGCCGTTATACAAGAGCCATACACACATAAACACAAACACTCACACACACACACACACACACACACACACACACACACAGCATTTTGCTGTTTACATCCTAAACATTGATGAAATAAATGGGGAAAACTTAGATTCTTCTTCTGCTCTATGAGAGAACAGAGCCTTCACGTGAAATTCTGAGTAGGGACAAATATAGAACCTACAATTCTGTAAGTTACAGCTTAAAACAAGCAACTGTCTAAACATTTTAGATTTCAAATCTAAATCATATAATAATAGTCTCTCAGATACCTGCATGTGGAGTATAAAATAATTTTACTTTTCATTTACAAGAAAGACTTCAAAGGATTAGTTAAAACTAAGAAAGAGACACATTTGGCTAATTGCTTCCACTTTTAGACAACAAATTGAACTATTTATAACCTAACTGCTCTTTTATAATATGTTACAAATAGCAAATACTCATACAATATTCTGCTTTTACTTTCTGCCCATTCAGAGGGTGAAGGTCAGGGTTTGCTGGCATTGAGAATATAACAAAATCAGTACCATAAAAATCTGTGCATTGTGCAGGGAACTCCTGGACTAATTTATCTCAACCACTCCAACCCTACTCATTCAAAAAATTAAAGAGACATGTAGGCTAAATTTAATGTTTCATTTCTGTTCTCTTGTGAGTACAAATATAATTATGAAATGATATGTAGAAGAATTGTTTGTGGCATTTTTTCCAACTAAATTTGCAACTAAAATGAAATTAAGAAGCACCTTGGGTTTGCATAAATATACTCACTGAATTATATTATCAATTCTTCCATCACTCGTTAGGGTGAAAAATGAAAGAAGAAAAGTTATTCACTCATGTGTAGAGTGAAGGAAGAAAATGGAAGAAGGAAAGGGGAATATCCAGAAGAGAGTATCCAAGTGATATATAATAATATCACTATGAAGTATTTCTATGTGAAAAGAGATATTGTCATTTTCTCTGAAACCCTTTGGGTATAGAGATTAGTCAAACAACACATTGTCAAAACATATGGTTCCATTGTGATTTAGTGTTCAAGACACTAAAAATTCAAGTATGAACAGATTATAGGTAAGCTGTCTCAGGGAAAACTTGGGATTCTAATTAAATAATGCTAATAAACCATGAAAATCTGAATCATTACTGGACATTTTAAGAACCATATACCAATTTTAAAATGTATATTATCAAAAAGAACTGCATCCATTGCTAACCCAATTTGAGGTGAATTCTCAAATGGAATTTGATCCCTAGCATTTTCAAGTCCTTTTATGTAGATTTCATTTCTTGGATCTTTTGGGGATAGTTGCAATCATCTGACAAAAATCAGAAGACGTAACTAAGGCTTACCCATGCCTTGATTTCAGTTGTCTTTTGTTAAAAAAAAAAAAAACAAAAAAAAACCCAAGCTACACTAAATGTTAATAACAAAAACTACAAATACTTTTAAAATTAAATAATTATTTCTTCATTAACTATAAATACTGAAACACAGCAAATTATGTAATCAAAGAAAATTATGTAATGTGATATATAAATAAATTCTAAGAAAGTCATATTTTGCCATACTCTGTTGTCTGTATTATCTCAAGTCACATTTAGGTTATAAGAAAACCAAAAAAGAAGTCTACATTAAAAAAAAATACTCTTCATGTGACTAAAAAAATCCTCTCATACCAGAAAATTTATTCTCTCTGGTTTAGAAGTAATTTATATCTTCCTAAGCCATTTTACAATTTGCAATACTGTAGTATTCCTATGGGTCAGATCTGCAACCAAAAGAAACAAGACAGTTAAGAGGCTTTTAATTTGAAATGAATGAAATCTACCTTTTAAAAAGGTGGACAGTATCCTATTCTTAACAGATTCTTTCCAACTCTTCTTCAGTCAATACCCACTCCTCTGATAATATTTTTGACCTGCTCTACTCTAACAACTTAACTTTTGGCTCTACTTGACTGTATCAAGAGTTCTTTCTTCCAGGACTGAGCCCAGGAAGCTTTGAAAAATAAGTAAGTGAAACTGCATTAGAGCAGAAGAGGTCAGAGGGAAGCATGTGAAAACATGTGGATACTGTGCAGACTGGACTTGGAAAACAGTTTTAAAAAAAAAAACAACAATTAACAGTAAATGTTACAGAAGCTACCAAGATAAAAAGCTCCTTTTAAAAAATTTAAGGTAGAGATCTGTATTAGATTTAATTTGTTCTTATAGGCCTGTCTTTGGACTGGTAGATTTCTTTACTGAATGGTTCACAATGACTTTACCAGATGATAAAACCATTCACAAAACTGTAAATATACTATAACTTTGATACAAAAGTACCACACTACTTACATATTACATATTTCTACTTTAACATCTTTATTTTATATAAAAAGTAATATATTTCCACTTCAACTTTTGTATATTTTTATAAACCAAATGCCTTCAATATTAACCTTCACAACCTTCAGTATTAACAATGGATATTCTCTCTTGTAATCATGAAAAAAATACATAAAATTCAATCACAGATGTTTTACTTACTTAGAGCTCATCCTTGTATACATAAAAGTAAACAAAATTTAGTGCCGCCTCTCTGTGCTATAACCTCCATCATTATATATATATATTTTTAATTTTATGTACAATCCTAAAAAAAATTAGTGTGCAAAAAATCAATTTATAATTCTTACCAGGAGTAAACAAAAGCATTTTAAATAAATATTATGTTTAAAAGTTCTAGGTGAGTACTAGTTTCTCTCTCTTTTTAAAGATTGCTCAACTAGCATTTTTTTTTTTCAGAAAATGGTTTTGGTTTCTCACCCATCTTTGGTCTGATCAGCTACTCCTGCCAAGAGCTGCACAGTCCATGGATTATAATGCTTATCAGTATATAATCCAAGATAACGCTGGACAAAGTCCTCTGGAGTCATGTAATGTTCTCCATCAACCTCGGTACTGGCATACTACAGAGGGAAGAAACAAACATTATAAGGATAAGAATAACTTAGATGTTATTTTGTAACTACCAAACAACCCATGAAATAATAAGTTAAAATTCAGCAGAGAAATGAAGGAACATTAAGAGATCTTTTCTTCTTGTGTGAAAGGAAACAAAGAGGGAATATTCTACTGACCGATTTAAGAATGTCAGAAAGACAAGAGATTTTAGAGTACTAAGGGTACAAGGGCAGCTAAGATAGTGGCCAGAACCTGAAAGTGAGAAGTTAAAAAATCTTCAGGTTTCCAGAGACTTTCTTACCCATAAAAGAGATCAAGAAGCAAGTCATAATAGAAATTTTTGCTTAGGAAACCCCAACTTTCTTAAAGGTTCCAATTTCTGGCATGTGACGAGAAATTAGAAGAGAAGATGCTTTTCTAAGAAATTTCTTGAAAATTATATCATGAATTTATTTATAAGGATGACCAATGTGATCAACCAAAACCTGTGCTCTGTGGGAAATGTCTCTTATTAAATTAATATCTGCGCATTTGCCTGAAATCAATCTTAAGAAGACAAATTCATTGTAGAAATTCTTTTGCTAAATCTGGCAATGCCAACAAATAATCATAGTCCACTAAAATGTTGATAACAGAAGCCTTAATTTCTGTAATTTCTTGTTTCTAAGATGATTTATCAAGTTCTCTACCTGAAAATGCCACAGAAAAGAAGTTCATATCAAATAATAATGGTCTCTGGGCACTTTTGTGAAGAAGGTTTACCTTTCATTCTCTTTCAAATTTGAATCCTTCCTTCCAGGTAGGAATTAATAAACTTTGTAATTCTGCAGAATATACCCATTCAACTAGAGAGTTCCAATCTTCAAAATCCCACAACATATCAAGTATTCAAGTATGTCATTAATTTCACAATTCAACCTAAAGAAAGCCTTCAGAAGTAGCTTAATTCTCAACTGCCCTACTCATTACCTCAAAATAGCTCTATCTTTACCTACCCTCTCCTTTTTCCCATCTGCCTTAGAGGAAAAAGAGACCTTCCTTCTTGCCAAGATGAATAACTCCATCAAAGACCTTGATCTCATCCCTCCTTGCCTCCAGAATACTGCTTAATCAATTATTCCTCCTCTCTCTAGCACTTCCACTCTCCATCTCCATTGGCACCTTCTTTTCCTGCTTCTAAATATGCATAAACATGCTTGTATCTTAAAAATCAAACAAAATCCTTCTCAATTTAGCTACCCCATAAAGCAACCATACCATCTCCTTTATTTCCCTTCATAGTATAGTCAGGGGTGTGCTGGAGTCAATTCAAACTGAGTATAGATGTTAAATTTTCAGTGTGAACATTCAGATATCAGAAATAAACACATACTACAAATTAGGGCTTGATTTATTATTTTGTTGATTGTCTAAACTTAAGAAAGTGATGGGGAAAAATGTTAATAATGCAGATTAAACTTTTCCATTGAGATATTTATTAAACATTAATCAGAACACCCTATTAAGCCTACATTTATTGCCTCCATTCCCTCTCACCTAAACTATTACTACCACTCCTGAGCCAATCTTTGTACATCAATCTTAACATGTATTTTTGAACATATCATCATCCTGCTCAAAAAAAATTCTCATGGTTCCCAACTCTCCACTGAAGAAGGTTTAAACTCAACTTAGGAGGTTTAGAATTCTTTTCTTACAGACTTGAGGCAGGAACTCTCTCTTGGCTTTGCATTTTCCATTTCCTTCATGTATAATACACTACTTCATGGCATATATAATAAGTGCTTAACAAATGTTTGTTGACTGAATAATCTTAGATATTATCTAAGATCCCAATTTAAAATGCTTCCTACTTCTCATAGCCTCCATTAACAATTGTCTTTGATTATTATATATATAAACAGACATTTTTAACACACTTTAAGATTGGCAAAATTTACATATGTAATCTCAAGGCCACCTTACAGCAATAATCCTGTGAAGCAGTTACTACAACTATTATCATCTCTGTTTTACAAGTGAGAAAATTGAGGCTTAGAAAACTAAGGGGCTCACTTCTGGCCACACATTTAAAAAGCAGTAGAGACAAGATTTGAATTTGATAGCCTCAAATAGCTCACCCCTCAGAATAGTTTTTACCACAAGGTAAGCACTAAATGATGTTTGTTGGATTGAATATCCCTTAAGGTAAGGACTATGTCAAATCTAACATTTAAATTTTATTCACTGAACTACTGCAATAAACTCCTAGCTGGCCCCCTAAACTCTCTCCCTATCCAGTCCAACATCCACATAGCTACTGAAATGACCTTCCTAATGAACAGGCAGCTAGGTGGCACAGTGGACAGAACTCTGGGCCTGGAGTCAGGAAGATCTGAGCTCAAATCAGGCCTCAGACACTTACTAGCTCTGTGACCTTGGGCAAGTCACTTAACCCTGTTTGCCTCAGTTTCACATTTATAAAATGAGCTGGAAAAGGAAATGGCAAACCACTCCAGCATCTTTGCCAAGAAAACCCCAAATGGGGTCATAAAGAGTCAGACATGATTGAAATGACTCAATAGCAATGCACAGCCACAGTCATGTCACTCTTGTGCTCAAAAAACCATCACTGACTTCCTTTTGCTCATAGTACAAAATAACATACTTGGCCCAAAGTAAGCATTTTTACATGAGTCTTTAAGGCTCTCCACAATTTGGCCTCCAAACTACCTCTCCTATTCATGTACTCTAATATTCTGGTCAAACTGGACATATTCTTCCCTTATTTTGCCTTACTGGGATGCAAGGTTAGAAAGTTCACATCCTCCCGAACTCTGACTAAAATCCTCCTCTTTCAAGGCAGCTTGGGTACCATCTCCTCCATGAAACCCTTCTTGATTTTCCCAGCTGAAAGTACTCTCTATCCTCAAATTTTCTGAGAGGACTTTTTCTGGAACTCTCCTTCACAACATTCTGTTTTGTACTATATTTGTATATCTATATAGATCATGTATTCCTTAAGAGCAGAAATCAAGGAAATTTTTTATCTTTGTTGCCCTGGAGCCTTGCATATAGTAGGGTCTTAATATTTGCTGAATTTAATGCCATAGTTCAAAGAAATATATCATAAACACAGAAGGCACTCAAAATTAGGATGATGAAAGAATGTGGCTCTGTGGTTATTTTGATTCCTGCTGGTTATGTTTTTTCCACTTTTAGCTGTTGTCAAAACTCTACTGGTTTACTCTTCGGAGGCTAAGAACCCATCTGATTCACCAGAGGGTATCTGTCTTCTAATTTCTGAGTTTGATTGCTAACATTGTGACCAATATACACACAGGAGTGTAGAAGCATATTGCACTTGTTGCAGAAACAATACTTCCTGGTTTTCTGGAGTCAGAGAAGCAGTGACCTACAGAGTGCCAAGAAGTGAGGCTGCATTCCCACAACCTACCAAGGCCACAGCTAACAACCAAGAAAACAATTGCTTTCATTGTTGTTTCTCACTGGAGCCAGGCCCTACTAATGTCAAGAGTTACAAATGATGCTAGGGAGAATCACTTTCCTTGGGTTTTTTTACTTTTTTCTTTCTCCCTTAAGTGTTTTTTCCTTCCAATCTATTTTAATTTGATTTTAACAGAAAGATAAAGTGTAAACAGTCTTAGGTATAGCTCAGAGGGGTGAAAAAGTCTTCTCATTCACAAGAAGTACTGTGCTTGACTTCTACAGGAGGCAGTTAACTAATTAACTCATTAAATTAAAGGCAATTACTTGGCAAATTCAGTGGGCGTTCTATCTGAGGAATGGCAGTCTAAGACTAGTAAGTAAAGAGCTGAAAAATCCTTGCATGTATTTGGACATAGATATGTGGTCCTTAAATAATAATCACAGGTGACATTTACAAACATTACAGATTTTTAATACCACAATAAGCCTAGGAGTCAAGTAGGGCAAGATTCATCCTCAACCTTATTTTACATGTAAGAAAACTGAGACTCACAACTGTTAATCAATTTGCTTGAACATTAAAAGAATGGATTTCAAAACTTGATAGTCAATAAACTCTTATTAATAAACCCTATTTTGTGCCAGACATTGAGCTAAGTGCTCCAGATATAAAGAAAGGAGAAAGACAGTCCCTACCCTCAAGGAGCTCACAGTCTAATGGAGGAAGACCACACTTAAAAAGAAGATAGGTGGAAGGGGTAGAAGAGTACCCATCACTGGAGCATGATAAAGTACAGAGGAGTATAGCCAGGTGGGAAATTATGAGATGGCTTCGTTGGGCCCTTCCTAAATGAAAAATCTGGGAGGACCTCTCCAATGTCTGCTCTTTAATCAGAGAGAAGGAGGGGCCTCAGGGCAGAAGATGTGAGGACCAGTTTGAAGGTTTTTGCAATAATCCAGGCAAGAGATAACAAGGACCTACACCAGAGTGTAGCTCTATGATTAGAGGGAAGGAGAACTATGAAAGATGTTGTGAAGGTAGGAATGACAAGATTTGGCAACAGATTGGCTATGTGGGCTGAGTCCAAAAGGAGTTGAAGATGAAGCTAAGATTGCAAAGGTGATGCCCACAACACTAATAGGAAAGTTGGGAAGAGGCAAAGGTATAGGGGGAAAGATATTGAGTTCAATTTTGGACATCAGTTCAAGAGCTGTCAAAGATGTACTTGGTGATGGGGGACTGGAGCTCAGGAAAGAGATGAGAGATGGATATATAGAGCTGGGAATCAATCATCTACATAAAAATGATAATTGAACCCATGAGAGCTGATGAAAACATCAAGCCAGATAGTATAGAGGGGGAAAGAGTAGGGAGGAGACTCAAAACAAGGCCTTGTGAAACACCCAGTTAGTAATCCTGACCTAGATGAAGATATAGTAAAGGAGATTAAAGGACGGTCAGACAGGCAGAAAATCAGGAGAGAATAATATCCCGAGGAGAGACTAACAGTTCAGAAAAGGCCATTAGATTTTGGCCATCAAGAAATCATTGTGTTTGCCTTTTCAATGAGTGGGG